GGGGGAGGGGGGCAGAGAGACTGCAAAGAGACCAGGGAGAGCGCATCAGAAGATGGTCGGAGAAACGAACCGCTTATAGCATATTGAGAAGGGATTTGCACTAAGCGCGCACCTCCAGGCGTCGCTACGAATTGAACGTGGGGCTAAACCTTGTAGTCGCGCTTACGAAGTGGATTTGCACAAAAGATGCAGCGTCTGGGCTGGACAGTGTCGGCAGGCATGTTAAACTCACACGAAAAAGCTCGCAGCCAAGGAAGGACGGGGATGACCAAAGTCGAATCAATCAGGAATCCCGATAAAACACGCTTCGACCGAGATTTATCATGCTGTTAGACCCATCAATGACCGTGGGCTCGAATAGCGAGCTTGCCCTCCGCCGATGCCTGAACTAACGGAAATGAAAGAAGGAAACACCCTGAAAAGTCCAATCTGGATGGACGAATCAGAGTGGATTCGACTGAAAGCTTTTGCTGAAGCGCTCACTCAAGCTTGCTCGTCACACTCCTCTGCCGGAGACAATGTGGTGTGGGACCCCAAATCCTGGACGGAATCTGATTGCGGAAAGAAGAGGAGTAAGAGCGGAGGCCATCAGATTCAAGGGCGCTCCGCCCATTTGGGTGGTATGGAGCTGCAGCAATCGACCTGCCCTGATGCCCTCGTGGGTCCGTTCCCAGGGGCAAGGTTAACTTAAAGAAGGAGCTAAAGACGGACCTTGAAACTTCCAACATTCACTGCGATCCTGTCCCGCCAGATCCAGAATGATCGTTCGCCAAACGCCACAGAGATAGAAGACCATATGGTGCATCGAGCAGGAAAAATGTTGTGAATAGTGGGCCCCTCAAATCTCAAACTGCTGTACTCGTTTATCCACACCGACCCTGAGCCCGTTGTATCGAAACAGATCCGTTCACGGCCCTTCTTTTGAGCTGCTCGGAAGCTCCTTTCTCCAGTGGCGAAGCTCGCATAGCCGAGACTATTCAATCACACGAGCTGTTTTTCGGCTCACCCGTTAGCGGTAGTGTGGCTGCCCGCCTGCTCCTCCACGCCTTGATCAGCTCCAGCCGCGCCCGCGCCTCCTCCACTGCCGCACGCTGCTTTCGCATTACCTCTGACGAATCACTTGGTGTTGCTTCGACCGTAGCTGCTTGCGCCTGGCTCTTGGGTGCTACCTCCAATGCACTGTTCGTCTCGTTTTCTACAGGGGCCGCTGATGGTTCAGCCGATGCTAGTGTGGCAGCAGTGGCAAGAGTCGTTGGGTCACTGCTGACCTGATCAATGTCGTGAATCTCTACCGGAGACTGCGACTCTGCGTCGGATGCTCCGCTTGGTGGGCTGTCTACTGCTAGATCTGACTGATCCTTACGAGTCACCTCGCTGACTTGGAGGAGGGAGGGTGGGTCGATCCCCCCAACTGGCGACACTTCCGTCAATTGAGCAACACTGCTTTTAGTAGCGTGAATAGCCCCGTCTGTGCCGTGACCTTCTGCAACGGGGAGCGACAGGCGGGCCTCCGGCTCCCCCAGTGATTCGCTCTCTAGCCGCTCTGCGCTGGCCACTGCTTCTGTGATTCTTGGTTCAACGGCCAGTGTGAGGCCCTGTGGCATGTCCAGACCTGGCTGCGCCTCTCCTGCGTGCTCTACTGGGGAGGTCGCAACTTCCCCCTCACTCATAGTCAGCACCGCCCCATCGTTCACAAAGCTGAAGGTCGAGAACTCCTTGTGGTCAGCCTGAGCCACAGCAGGCACCTCCGCCCCTTCTACGCGTCTGGGCTCCTCGCTGTCAACGTTTTCCCTCCCGACAGGTGTCGCAGGATTATTCGTGTCAGAAAGTCGTTGTGGGTCCAGGTGCAACCAGTCGGCTGTGGGAATCTTGGTGAGCTGGCTCCACCAGGCGCCGCCATTGTCTTTCTCTCCCAGGGACGGGCTGGCCGCGCCCAGCAGGGTGTCCGCTCCTTCCAAGGCATATGGGGCATCAGGGCCCTTGTTCTGCAAAGAGAAAGCAACGAACATCAGACTCAGTCCCATGTTGAAGGATGCTCTGAGGAATGTTGTTCCATCTCAGATCGTCTCCCGACAGATTTAAAGGGGTCAAAGGAGTGCAAGACAAAGTGCTGCGCGCGTAGAAAGGTACTGGCCCAGACCCAGGATCATCAAAACCTTGTAGGATGTCTGAGGGCCCCCCTGAGCCCATCACAGGGCACACAGCAACGATCTCAGCGCCAGCAGAAGGAATGGACACTTTTAGCGTCTGTCTGATCCCCACAAGCCAAAACCAAGGCGTCATTGGCAGACTGAGGAACTTACGCTGTGCAGGCTGTCTTGAAGTGCGCGCCCCTCCTGCGCCCGGTCCTCAGCCCGCGCCGCCTCAACCTGGCGAGCCCACCATGACGGGCCTGGCCCCTCGCCCGCCGCTGCGTTTGGTGTGTTCCCCCCTTCCGCAGACAGCCACCATGGCCCTGCCTTAAGGCCGTGCTTCCCTTCCGCGAACACCGCAGTGTCGCTGCCCTCAGGCACGGCCAATGCGACGTCCGTTGCTGCAGTTTCTCTCAAGGAGGTCCCTTGGGCAGACTCGTTCTGGGGCAATTGGGATCCCCCCTGAGTGGCGCCAGCGTCTGGGGTGCTGCTCAGGAGGGCGACCGCTGTGATCAGGATGTGGGCGCTTGCCAATCCCTCTGCACTGACGGCGCTGATCAGGTCAGCAGGATGACCCCCAAGAATGTGCTCGCCAGGAGTGCTTTGCAAAGCGGGGGGCTGATCCAGTGCCGCTGCCAAAGAGAGACTCTCAAGACTGGCGGTGGCCTGGGAGGGAAGGGCTAGTGCGGGCATAAGCCGTGAGGGGGACAGCGGCTGAGCGCGAAGAGGCAGGCTGTGGAAGCCAGGGGAGGCGGGGCGGACGGGACTGAGCGCTGATCGGGCGGGGGAGAGGGGCGCCTGGTCCAAGGAAGCCCCTTGCTGGGCTGCATTGAGGTCGGGGACGATGAGAGGGCCCGCAATGCTCAGCAAGTGAGAAGACGCCATCCTGGCGGGGGGAACAAATTGTCCCTTCAAAATCGAAGGATCATGTATGATGAGATGACTAAAAAGGGACGACCTATACTTGACAACTTTGTTCAAACGGGCCTTTGTTCTGGCAGATTGCTTCTTCTCCAAGAGAAAACACTCAGCGAATACTGCAGAGCGGATCTGAAGCCCAGGGAGCAATGCTGATTTGACAAGCCTGCCCGTGAACTTGAAGATGAATTTGTTCAGGATCAGAAGGAAAATTAGGGTTTGTTAGTGAGAGGTACCGTACCGTTGACCCCTCAGACTATCCCGCAAGGTACGTACCGCAGCTGGTCAACTGTGCGCGTGCGACATTCACAACCGTTACCGACGTTCTTGTAGCACACGGGGCAGCTAAAATCTGCTGTGGAACGGTGTGGTCATGCGACCATCCATCTTAAATATCAATGCCCAAAAGCGCATATTGCACTGGCGTGGCTCGTTTCAGAGCGTCCATCTGAGAAAAGTGCAGCCCTTTCTGGCAGGTCGAACAGGGAATGTACAGGTGTTAATGGTCGAGAAGAGCAGCTAATTGGCTGGTGATGTTTCCTCTGTCTTGCTGGCATCTGAATATCGCACTGCAGAATGCTCACTTTTCTTCCAAAATCCAGATTCTTGCAAAACTTTCTTTCAAGTTTCGAGAGCTTCTGCCTCTGCCTGGCCTCCAGATTGCAATGCTGCCTATGAAGCAGCTCCCAAACCCTTGGTGGAATTGACAGTGAAGGGACCAGCTCTTTCCCTCTCTTTATCAAGTTCGAGCAGCTCCAGTGGTTTTGTGTTCCTGTTCTTATTGGTACGGCCCTCGGGTATAGCAGGTAGACATAGCATGTTTGCACACAGTGCTTACGGTTGGAAGTTTTAGTTTCACATATATAGGTTGACAGAAGGCTGTGCTTTTCTTCTTACCACTGCAGCAAGGCAGAAGTGGTCAAGGAGGGCGTAATCGGGGCCCTGCTATGGGTTTCTGACAGGTCCGCGAGGTTAGTCAAGCTCTCTCAGTTGTACTTCAGGGCATCATGGTGTCTAGCTTAACAACCTGGCTATATTGTTGAACGTAATTGACAGGGCATTGCGCCGATTGCAGTGGTTGCTGCAGCATTGCTTGCTTGGGTCACCCAAGGGGGCAGGGCAAGAATTGGGGATATTCGACTGAATCAGTTTCTGAGGAAGGTTCTGAGCTGGGAACTGGGAGTTTGGGGACCCCAGTGGGGTTATGGCGGATGTCATGCACTATCAACAGAATGGTTCTTGGAGGAAAATAGAGCTTTGAAGTGCTGAACGCTTCTTGTGTTTCCTGTCATAAGAATTGCCGATAATTCATTTCAACCCCTTCTTTAAGTGGTCAAACTTTCTCAATTTGGAACTTGCAGTTCAATGAAAGCATGTAGATGGACTCAAGCCACCAATTCATCAATGCGTGTAATCAAGCTGAAGTTATCAAGGGTTGATGATTTATCTTCCTTTGGTTCAAGAAGTATGTGAGGCAAACCCAAACACACAGAAAACCCATTCGGTATCATCCCAATGGACATCTGCAATTCTCATGCAGGTCATGTTCTCCCATTCCTAAGAGCAAGGAACTGAGCAAGGTCTAGGCAGGGCCCTTCTCTCTTAATTTCCTGCGGTGCATCTCTACACTGGAGCCGCAGTTCAGGACAGGTTGCCGTTACAATTTGCACATCTATTTTCTCCTGATTTCTGCTTCCAACACCTGCAGCTCTCCCTTCTGATCAAGAACCACGCTCTACGCCACGCACTACGCCGCCAATTGTGCCACTTGGCACCGTGGCTGCCCTCCAGGTGTCAGCTTGCCGTGCCACCATCCGCCTCAGTTTTGTCATGATTGGGGCGGTGTGTGGTCGTGTTGGGGCGAATGCTGGGGGCTTGCTCCTGGGTGCGCATGCCGGGCTAGCCCAGACAGGAGGGCAGGCGCTTGCACTCTCACTGCCAGCATGCGCAGTGCAGAAGGGGGGCAGGCATGCCAGGTGAGCTGAGCAGCCAAAAGACAGCTGTCTGCCCCAGTGAAGTGGATGGTGTCAAGCCCTCTTTCAGATTCGAGCAACGGACAGTGGGCTACCAGACTGTGGGAGGCCTAGAGTTGAGAGGCTAGAAAGAGACGGGCTTAATGGGTGCAGCTCTGGATCTTTGGGTTGGGCTACTTTTGTGTCTTCTGTGCATGCCTTCATATGCTGGGTCACTTGAACGTCCCTGACCCTGCCTGCTTTTCCTTGCTGCAGGCTCTCTTCCTCCTCCCCCCTCTCTTCAACGACCTTTGTCCGACAGAGTGATGGCGCCTCTCCCCGGCACTCCTATGACTGCACCCCTTCAGCCATTGCGGAGCGCGTTTCCTCCGGCAACTGCACGTCTACGTCTGCCAGCCTGTGTGGCTCCTCTACCTCCTGCCTCCACCACCCCTTTGCGCATGATCCTCGTTCCGCCTCAGGCGTGTCCCCACTGACTGCCCCCGGCAGCCCTGTATATAACCTCTGTACACAGTCAACCAAAGGGGGCCCTCGTCTGCGCCCGCGGTCCCGCCATCGGCTTCTGCCCTCCAGCCTTAGGGGCGGTGCAGACGGGTCAGGGTTGAGGTCAGGTTCTTGGGTAGGAAGCAACGCATGGCCGGGAGCGTGGTTACTGTTTGGGTTAAGTGCGACGGGGCTGGCCACTGCGGAGGTGGCCCCAGGAACAGGGGAGGACTCGGGGGATGTCGATGACGAGTGGTGCGCTGAGAGCAGGACAGGGGCTGCGGGGGCTGCGACGTGCCATGCCAAGGACGTGCTGACCAACTACCGGAGGATTGGTGAGTGGGACAAGCAGCCGCGCAGTAGGGCTACATTCTCAAGGGTGCAAAGAGGCAATCGGTTGAGGAGAGGAGCAGTCTAAGACAGTTACAGACTTGGAATTTTTTTTTCCCTTGGCATGGCATCTGAGTCGAGTGGTTTCGTAGTTGATAGAGTCGGTAACCGCAACACGGATGTTTCCAACTTTCTTTCTCATTTGTTTTCCCCCTGCTTTGCATATCTTTGCTTGGAATTGAGGACTTCGTCTTTTAAGGAGGCGGATGGGCTCCTGTTGCGGCCTACTTATGGTGTCTTGGTGTCGCTGCTGCTGCAGGCGTGCGTGGCGATGGGCGATGCCTGTTCCGCGCTGTGGCGTATGGGCACAACGTGCAGGAGAAGAGGGGAGCGCAGGACAGCGAGCGTGACGAGCAGCAGGCCGACCAGCTTCGCAACATGGTCAGTCATGCTTCCATGCATTCCGCAGGAGTTCTGTATTGTGCCTGCTTTCATTTCTAAAGTCTGCCACTGCCTTTTGGAAAAAGAGAATGTGTATTTTTGTTTTTCTTGGTTACACTATGTCTCCACAAATGCTCTCGAGTCTTCTGGACAACCCCGTTAAGTAGAAATCCTCAAAGAGCGACCTGAATAGTCTCTTTCATCGGTGAATGGGCGGAAAGGTGAGGTGGCTGATCCAGTATCCTCCGTTTTCTTAGGCTGTCCGCCCTTTAGGCGGGCGGCGTGCTATGCCCTTTTCTTGGTCCTCCCTTTTAGCTCATTCAGACATGGTTTCGCAGCCCGCTTATTCCCGTCGCATGCCCTGCGTGCAGGCGTTGGACGAATTGGTGCGGCGGCGTGACGAGAGCGAGTGGTTCATTGAGGGCGACTTCGACCACTACGTGCACCGCATGCGCCACCCCGGGGTCTGGGGCGGCGAGCCAGAGCTGCTCATGCTGTCTCATGCGCTCAAGTGAGGCCCCGACGACTCTCCTGCGCTGGCTTGCATCGGCACACCTGGCTCTGTAGTCTCATGAGTGAAAGTTGCCCTCTTTTCAGGCCTCCTTGAAGTGGGGTGCTATTGAACATTGGTGAGCGGCAAGCGGCTGGAGGCAAGCGGCTCCGATGACTGAATTCCGGCCGTGTTTGAACTATATCATATTCTTCTTCATTGGTATTTCATTGAATGTCCGCAGGCAGCGGCCCTGCTTCTCGTCCTTCGTCCATCCTTAGGTGCCCTTCTAACGCCCTCTGCTGTTTGTGTGTGTGCCCAGGAAGCCCATCACGGTGTATATTCCCGACCCGTCGGGCGCGGGCATCCTGAGCATCGCAGAGTACGGGCAGGAGTACGGCAAGGCCGCCATTGCGGTGCTCTATAACGGCTCCACCCACTACGACGCACTGCTCGTGCCGGCAGCCGACCACATCGCCGCCAGGCTCTGAACAACCGCAGTTTGTATGGGGATTGGGGCGGGGCCTGGCGTAAGAGAGAATGTGGGGAAATGGGAAGGGGGGAGGGCGCTCGAAATGTTTGCTTGTGCTTAAAAGCATAAGGTTATGGCAACATACATGCCAGCGGGATGGGGGGTAGCTTGATTTTCGAGCACCGAAAACGAGAAGAGAGGACTCTTTGTTGAGATAATCTATTGACATTTTAGGCGGTCAGATTTGACATTCTGACAGGCGTTAGAGCGGGTTCGCCATAATCGCGTCCGTCACTGAGCATCTGCCGAGCTTTGCTTGGAGCCCGCAGCAACCTCCATTGCTTAACATAGATGAGGTGGGTATACCTCGCAGCTTCTTGACGTAGATAATTGGAGTTGAGTTGGTGCCTGATGCATCAAGCACTCATTTCTTGTTTGGCCCCTTCCACCTGTGGGGTACCCGTACAGGTTTTGTGAGTGTAGAGAGCAATTGAATATGGGCATTTTGTTGCCTGGTTAAGCGGCTGAAGCAATTTAGTCTAGTTCCCTAGAGGGGGATCGAGCTTCGTCCGTGGGTGTACACCTGAACGAGCCGCCCGGATCGGTTAACTGGCAACCATGACGCTGTAGATAGAACACTGTGACATCGCGCTTCCAGAGCTGCTCACTGAGGTTGAGTCAGCTGGTGTAACTTCCTCACAATCAATATATTGAGATGCATATTAGAGGTATCCTCAAAATCAACTCATTCAATGGTCAAGCTTCACTTGATCATCAATTATCTTCAACATGCTGATTTGAACTAAGTTAACAAACAAGTGATTGTCATACGAATTAGAACGGTACAATTGACTCAATTGAATTAATTCTGCGTACATAGACCTATGGCTAGCTGGCGGCACGTTTTTGCCTGCGGCCGGTGCATGACGATTGATGGTGGCCGGGTCGCGGGAGCACGCGGTGCACATGGCATGCACATGGCAAATATGCATGTGCGCAGTGGCAATATATACTGCAATGATGCCAAACATGTGTGGCAGCTAGCGCCTAGCTGCATGTGCCGGTGATATGCCGGTACGTGCCAGGCCAACGCGCATATGTAGGTATAGTACATTTGGCAAACCTTAGGGCTGATACAATGATCGATATCTGCATATACTTTCCTCATGGCATGCAAGATCACATATATAGTTACCAGTACGGCCGGTTGCATGTTTACCGCACCAAACTTAGACTTCGTCCTACTGACAATTGCCGCTGCGTAACCTATGAACTTAAAAAGGCTCCCCAAGGATCTTAAACAAGCCTTGAGTAATTCTTAGTACCTTAAGTTACTGATAATGTACTAAACAGCACTTGCGGTGCATAATCACTTGAAGTGATTTCTATGCTGATGATTGATTCGGATTGAACGAACCCTGCCATCATGGCATGCATGCCAGTGTCTTTACTGGCCTGTGAATGCTCTTCAGTAACAGCATCAGCGGCACCAGAGCAGCGAATACAAGTGATGCACCAGCCCGCAAAGTGCTGGAGCAGCCTGGAAAGAGGGAAGTCTTAAGAGGTACTGTTCGCAGTTGGGCTTGCCTTCCATCTCAGGTCGCCATCTTGTGTGGCAACGAACTGACGGTGCAAGGACGGCTAGCCAAAACAAGCGCGCACCCTATGCCGCCACCTACTTCTTCGCATAGGTGATCAACATGGGGTTTGTGGGCGTGATCCGGTACCCTTGCAGCCCGGACATCGCCACTGTTGATTGATTCTCGTCACTAAACTCGACAAATGCGATACCTGGCTTTGACTCGATCATACGAACTTCCTTGAAGCCTGGGAACCTGCAAACGAAGGAACATACCAATGAAACAGGGTCTCGGCACAACAGACTGATTCACAAATCGCGTCTTGTCCTGATTGACTTGCCTGCAGTGATTTACACCTTTTTACTTGCAAATTACTTCAATCACTAAAGAAACGGCTTCACGAGAATCCCACAAAACATGCAAAGTTCTGTCTCTACCACTGCATCACTTTACGAACTAACCCAGCAGCTTGAGTGAGAGCGCTTACTGGTTGAAGAGCGTGGACAGCATCAGCTTGCTGGCCTCCAGCGGCAGGTTCTCAACGAAGAGCAGGTTGTTGGGGGGCGCCGGGGCCTCAGGGACGGCCATCGGGGGGGGCATGCCGTAGCCATACGCGGGGGGCACCATCCCCGGCACCATGCCGGGCATCATCCCCGGCATCTGGCCGGGCAAAGCCGCAGGAACGGGGCCCGCCGCAGCAGCACGCTTGCGAGCCTTCTCCTTCTCTGTAAGAATAACAGAGGCACCACAGGGGATATTGTTAAGCGATACACCTTGACAACATGGGACAGAAGAAAGACTGTCACCTGAGCCACTGCGTGAAGCTGCTACAACAATCATTTACTTTTTTGGGATTCGTCGGAATCCGATTCGATCATATCCGACTTGAGGACTCGAGGGCAGTGCACATGGCACTCATTTTATGCAGCAGGTCAGGTGTCCGTTGAGTGCTCAGACATGTGCTTTGAGGCTTGGCAACCGTGCAGTGGGGCTGCACGAACGCTGGCCGCCATGCCCCGCCTCACCTCGTTCCTCGATTGCTTTTCTCTTCTCCCGTGGTACGAACGTCCCATCGGCTTTTGACACTGCGTCGGACTTCGTCTTCGCATATGCAATTTTCTGCAAGGACGCCAGAGTGTAATGTCATGAGCAACAAGACCGTGCCAACTTTCTACCGGCAATCTGTACAGGTTCACCAATAGGCGCGTGGCGGTGGCAGTGATACAAAGTCAACAAGTTTTCAGAGGATTTCGATCAATTGTCATGGACCTCCTTTCTACTGCCACTGCAACCTTGCTGCTCTTGCCGGAAATCTGCTTTTGGCAACCAACATTCAACGACAACAAAGAGCTCACACCATTGAATCGTCTTAAAGACAAGGTTCACGGTGCAATGTCTGGTTGGCTTCTAGAGTACACCGCCTGGCTCAGCGCTGCGCTTGAGAGACTCACCATCGGCTTATCATAAAAGGGAAAACCTTGCATCTGCCGGAGTGCGTTGGTGGCTGCGGTGATGTCATCGAACACCACCCAGGCCTGCCCTCGCAACTTCAGGGTCTTCAAATTCACTATGTCTAGAATCTTGCCAAACTGGGAGAAGACCGCGTACAGCGACTTCTTCATTTCTGCACATGAGCAACGAGTCCTGAGCAAGGCGCCCACACAGCCACAAAGAAGTCATTACCGCAGGCGCCCACAAAAAAGAGACTCTGTGCGTGAATGCTTGTTCACAACCAACACAACAACCGCAAAGCTAGAAATTTCCTTAAGCGCATCAAATATAAGATGCATTGCGAGGATTGCTTCATTCAATTTCAACTAAATGGTACAGGGCATGCTTAGCGCATCCGCGGGAGAATCTTACCCTCCTTTTTAATCTTTTCATTCAGGTTTGACACATAGATCGTCTGATTGGGCGCAGCATCCGCCCCCTGCACTGGCCCTACCATGGTGGCTCCGCCCCGTCCACCGATCGATTCAGAAACGACTCTACAGTTGGCACCACCCCACACAGAAGCTGTTAGCAATGAAGCTGATGGAACCAACAACGGAATAAGCTGCGCTACTGAGCACGAGCAGACCGCCCTGCAGTTGCCTTCACAGTTCACTACCTTAGGCTTTGGTCCTAGGTTGGACATGATCAGGAAAAAGAGTGCTGCTGCTCATCCCTCACTTTTAGAGATATCTTAGATATCACAGGAAGTCTATTCCCCGTGGCGTTTCCCCGGCTGTTGCTGCAGCCAGGTACAGAATATACAAATCAGGCCGGAGAGTCTGAGAAGGCAGTTTGTGTTCCACGGTAGAAGCTGCCGAGCAGTAAGACTTTAATATCACGAATTATTAAAAGACGCAATTAATTTTCAGTAAATTGGGAAGACACTGCACGCAGCACTTCAACAGATTCATAATTGCTCCAGCTACCGCTATGCTTGCTGAGCTGTGACGTGAAGGGGTGCGGCCTTGCTTGCTGCAATTGGTGGATTGAGGAGGCAATGCATTGATATAGAACCTATGGTGGGCTCGAGCAGCGAGTGTGCTCGGCTACACACAGCTTAGACGTTGTGACTCAGTGTATTGCTTACGAAGATGGCCTCGGAGGGCCCAAGCAATGAGGGTGCGGTGCCCTGGGGCGCTGCGCGGGCGGCAGAAGAGGCGGCTGCTGGCCAGGTAGCACAGGAGGGGCCAGCCGAGAAGAAGAAGTGGAAAGAAAAGCTGGGGCTCAAGGGGAAGGGGAAGAAGGGCAAGGCATCGGGCAAGGGCACAGATGCAGAGGCGGCACCACCACCGCCAGACCTGGCGGGGGAAGGGAGCAACGGGCAGGGGGACAGGGAGAAGGACATTGGCAAGCTGATGGAGGCGATGACGCGGACGGTGAGGTTGCCTAGCTGGGCAGTGGTGGTGTTTGTCCAAAGCATTGGATCTCTTGGCTTCCAGCTTGCTTTTATTGACAACATGAGAAAGAGTCCGATCAGGCTTCAAAGCAGGTGATTTGGATAGTGCCCAGAGAAGATTATGCAGAAGGATTTGGAACCCTAAAATGCAACACTCCTACTGCTGAGGGAGGCTGGATGCATTCAGCTGCTGCGATTGCCTGGGTGCAGAGGATCGTGAATGGTTTTCTGAGTTTCCTAGGGGAATCCGCTGTCAGCAATTTGCTACATGGCCTTGGTGCCTGACGCTCCCTGTTGCAAGCATCTTAGGAGCGGGACATCTGTCATGAGGCAATCCAGCAGATTCATTGCTTTTGCACACTTGTGCTGTTCACTGTCCGCCAGCTCAAGGCGCTTGGGCAGCGGAGCGATGGTGCATTCCTAACTCATGGTGCGAGGTGGCGTGCAGCTGGCGAATGCGGATATGCGGGGCGCGCGGGGGGTGCCGAGCAACAAGGACCTGGACGCCGCAGCCAAGGCGGCGCACGCGTTTTGGGAGACGCAGCCGGTGACACAGTTCAGCGCAGAGCGCAGTGCGCCGGAGCTGCCCGAGGGGGCCATCCAGCCGCCGCAGAAGGTGGAGGACGTGCGGCAGGAGCCGTACAAGCTGCCCAGCGCCTACGAGTGGTGCACCTGCGACGTCAATGATGCCCAGGTGAGGGCAAGGGGGCGTGGACGGAAAGGATGTCTGTGTTTCAGGAAAGTCACAGGACCAGAAAGCCGGTTTTGAGGGCTTTTTGACCTGCGCCTTCTGCCCACTCTTTCGTGCTTTTTGGGCTTCTCTGGGTTCAACTCTGATTGTTGCAGGCTGTGGCAGGTCCCCAGATCTTTTGTCTCCAAGTTTTGTTCGCTTCCTTCCCTTTTCCAGTGCGGTTGGGTTTCATTCTGAGCTATTACGTAAAGTGATGCCAAACACTAGTGCTCCGGAGTGGTTGTTCTGAGGGATTGGCATATGATCCTCGGCAAGCGGCCGTACCCTCTTTTCGTTGATATATGTCAGCCCCAGCTGAGGGTGTTTCTCTGACTTGGTGGTTTCTCTCGTGCGGTGCAGGAGATCGTGGAGGTGTACACGCTGCTGACCAACAACTACGTGGAGGACGACGACAACATGTTCCGCTTTGACTACTCCAAGGAGTTTCTGCGCTGGGCGCTCAAGCTGCCGGGCTACACCTCGCAGTGGCACATCGGGGTGCGCGCCAAAACCTCCAAGAAGCTCGTCGCCTTCATCTCAGGTTAGTGCACCCCCCCCTCAGAACCGGGGACTGAACGTGGACTCTCGTACATGGGGCCTGACGGGGTGGGATGCGCTTCGTACCACACCGTTTATCGAACTGGCTTCTATGCAAGTGGTCACTAGCAACTTCGGCAGAAGACTTCCGGGAACTACATGTGTCGGCAGAACCCTCTATTAGACGAGAATGTTGGAATCTCCTTTCAGGATGCAACTCGGAATGGAGCGGCATCCGTGTAGTTTTCGTCTTGACGCAGTCAAGCTGGTTGCGCACAAAGAGCCCACAAGCCACGTCAATGACTGTGTACACGAGCTTTGAGCGGCAATCTTTGCCGCGCTCGGAAAACGTTCGGTCGTTCCGGTATTCGAATCCATGGAGGGCAACCGGATCGGTTGGCGTGGGAAAGTTGAGTCTTCGAGTTTATCCCTCACCATGTCTCGTGGTCCTCCAACCAATCCGTCCCGCTGTCTTCCCCCCCAGGCGTCCCTGCGCGCATCCGCGTGCAGTCTGCGGTGGTGCGCATGGCGGAGATCAACTTTCTGTGCGTGCACAAGAAGCTGCGCAGCAAGCGGCTGGCGCCGGTGCTGATCCGCGAGATCACGCGGCGCGTGCACCTGCGCGACACTTGGCAGGCGGTGTACACAGCGGGCGTGGTGCTGCCCAAGCCGCTGGCCACGTGCCGCTACTGGCACCGCAGCCTCAACCCCAAGAAGCTCATCGACGTCGGCTTCAGCCGCCTCGCGCGCAACATGACCATGGCGCGCACCATCAAGCTCTACAAGCTGCCCGAGCAGCCCCTCTCGCCCGGCATCCGCCCCATGCACCCCGCCGACGTCCCCGCCGTCACCGCGCTCGTCACCACCTACCTCCAGGTTAGCGCGCGGACAGGCCTAAAAAGCGGACTTGTGCTCTCTTGTCAAGAGCGAAAAGGTCCTGTGTGGCCTGTCTTCCTTTCTTCACGGACGTCCGCCTGATCACATGGCGTCTACTTCAACTTGAGACTGCAAGCCTCAGCTGGGCGCTGTCCGGTACTCGTCTCTGAGCGAGCAGTCCTGACGAGACCTGCCTGTCGAACTCTCAGTTTAGTCTTGAGGTGGGGAAGGGTTCTCGGAGCAGAGGCGGGCCCCTCTCCCTCTTTTGTCCAGCAAGCCTGACCCGCCGGCCCGGCCTGTGCGGTGCAGCAATTCGCCATTGCGCCGGTGTTGTCGGAGGAAGAGATCGCGCACCTGCTGCTGCCCGCGGCGGGCGTGGTGAGCAGCTACGTGATTGGCGGCGAGGGCGGGCGCGTGAGCGACCTGTGCAGCTTCTACACGCTGCCGTCGTCCATCATCGGCAACCCGGAGCACTCGACGCTCAAGGCGGCCTACTCGTTCTACAACGTGGCCACCAGCGTGCCGCTGGAGCAGCTCATGACGGACGCCCTCATCCTGGCCAAGCAAGACGACTTCGACGTCTTCAACGCGCTGGACATCCAGCACAACGAGGCCTTCCTCAAGGACCTCAAGTTTGGGCCGGGCGACGGCTTCCTGCACTACTACCTCTACAACTGGCGGCTAAACAAGGAGTTGCAACCACGGCAAGTGGGGCTTGTCATGCTGTGACGGAGGAGCAGGTGCGGGGAGTCCGCGAGGGAGAGGAACTCTGTGCACGCTTGCGGGTTTGCAGGGTTCAAAGCCAAGCCTTCACTCCTTCACTTGCTCTTCCATCGGACTCATGATGGACCGTCAAAGATTTTGCCGGCTGCCCTGTTGAGATGATTGAGTTTGATGTACTTTGCACTACCTGTACGTACACATTAATATTAATGCGAAGGTCAGGGCATTGCTTAGATGCGCTTTCTTTAACATGCATACTACTAAACACGCGATTCGTACGTGTGAAACTGTGCATGATCTCTTTCACGCCATGCTGTGATGGAGGCGCGGATACTGTACAGCCCCTGCTGGGGGCTGCACGCGGCAGGCTGGATTGCATCCATACATATCATGCATATTAAGTTGATTACATGGACACGAATACACGCCCAGACAAAATTGGATGGATGTCTCTGTTCTGTCTGTTGGCAAACGTGGATGTTAGTATATGAACCGGCACGGCCGGCGTGTAATCAACCGCTACTCTTGCAACGAAATTCAATTAAGTTACAGCCTTTCCGAATCGAAGGTCTAACCTAATATCTTATATCCCAACCACGATCGACGGTAGTGACTGCTTGACTCTCGATACTGATATCGGATGTATATCTGAGTCTTACGTGGGAGATGCCCTCGATCATGCCACCATTTGACGTGGAATGAATTCAATAATTGCATGTCATCCAAATGATCGACGGTTGCACACCAAACGGGGCCCGCCCATTGCATAGAGTTGTTTATTCGCTGAGCGTGCCAGATCAAACGCTCATGTATGTGCAGCCTGAAGTACCGGCTCATGGGCCCCTAACCGCAACTTCCTTTAGGAGCTGAGCTAGCCCTTGTGTAATCAGAGGCTTTGCCGCTGGGTTTTTTGCAACTTCAACTGACCTGAAGCTGCGAGTCCACTCTCGATTCAAGGTAGTTCAAGGTCAGTTGCAGGACTGTGATCAAGAATTTTTTAAGCATTCTTGATTGATACTCTACAACATGGATCTGAGTCTTTACAAGCGCTGATCAGACTTGGAGCAGCTTTCTTCAATTACATTCCAGGTAGATTGTGACGACCTAGCAAGGGTGTGGGGTGTAAGCAAGGACTCAAACTCATATGCGACGGCCCCAAACCCGAAGACACTTCGACAACTACACCAACTTACCTAAGAGGTTCTCGGTAACTCTTCTGACAGAGTCTCAGTTGGTCCAAAAACTTGTCGGCTTTCCAGTTTTTGCAACCTTTTCTAGGACCATCTGTGGGTCCAGATCTCCGACCACCGTCACCTTCTGTTGTTGAAGATCCACGTTGTACGACTGGACCCCTGACGAAGAAACATGACCAGGGACTCCGGCATGGTTTGTAACAAGCCCATTAGTGATGCTCGCGTGCTCTGAATAGACACATGCTGACTCGAGCGCAGTGTCCTACCAGAGATAAGTCAATGATCATAACTGAAACAGCATGTAAGCAACCGATGCTTGTCTGGGGGCACGGTCACTTTCCAGACCGTGGGCCCTGCCTGGAAAATTTCCAAACATCACTTGGAGCGCCCCTCAAAAGCATGGCTGTTGGAGACATGCTCGTTGTAGACATGGCGGTTGTGATCAAAATCCACCAACCATACGGAGGGCACGTGAGGGCCTTACCTTCAGTCTTCTTGAGGACTCTTTCGACTGCACCCACGCAGCCCCCGCAAGTCATGCCCACTTTCAATTCCACAGTCTGGGAGGATGAGAGGCAACCAAATAAGCGGGGACTTGAAAGTCTTTCTCCAGAAGGCGGTGTTACGGCCAGGCGCACCAAGCAAGGCTGAGGCAGGCATGGGGCACATCAAACCTTGCCAATCATGACTGACAATACAGACCTGTGTCCCTAGTAAAAAAGTTTCAGCGGTTCTTTGGCAATTAGGAGCACAATTTCTGTGAGGGCACCAGGATGCCTCTGCATTGCACCCTGGCAGCTTGCAAACTCTGCAACCGGTGGGCATACTACATGGACTTTGAGCGGGGGGGGCCAGCCTGAAAACCCACAGCATTCAAGAACTTACCTGCGGCATTGCTGCTGGATCCTCTCACAGAACCCTTCGTGAAGAGCTTGAGCAACGATCAGAGGGCTGGGTGCACCCGTTCTGACACCAAGTCGAGTCAAACAATCTGCCCTTGTCAATGTTGTGTCCAACCTCCAACAAGAACCGCGTGACAATCAACAGAGAACAGAATGGCAATCAGGCGATTGCAACTCCCTCTTGCTTGAGCAAGGAAACCCCGCGAAGCCCAATTGCCCTGTAGATGGTGGCAGATCCCTTCGTGAAGAGCCGCCCAACAAGGGAGATCAGCAGCTTTGCTTTGCTTCTGAATTGTGAAGGCAGCCGCCTCGATGAAAATCACGCCTCAGCCTCAGGTGTGAACTTTGAAGTTTGAAGGCTGGAGAGGTTCCATGCACCGTGTTCTCCAGCGCGCGTGCTCCCTTCTCATCGAAGTTAGGTAACTCAATTCAATTGAAGATGAATTCTGAACGGGTGTCAGAAGCCAATTCCCGGTCATTATCATGCCTTGAACTGACAGCCCTCGCGAAGACTTGACACTATGTTATCGACTCGTGGCCATGTGCTCGCGTGAGGCGACGGCTGGCTAGCCGAGGCATGCGGATTTGTGACATTCAATGATTTTGTGGGTCGTGACTCGTGACCGCAGTCGCCAGGGGCAGCAGGGGTCGCCATGTCTTAAAGTTCCACGTGGTGGCAAGGCAATCAATGGCAGCGATGCTTGGAGTACTTGTGGTGGTCAAGAATGCTGCGTGCTCGCACAGAGCTGCTGGCTAAGGGGTCCCGCGTATGAGCAGCCACGGCGCTTGCAGACTCGGGGATCCGCAGCGCGTCGCACAGCTCGCTCATGGGACCTGAGGCGGTGGAGGACACCCGGTGGTCAACGGGGCGGCCTCCTCTGCCACATGGGCTCGCAGGCGGAGAAGCAAGCAGGACAGCTCCCACCAGGTGGGGGCACGCTTGGTGGGCTCCAGGTTTAATGATCAGCTTCGGCAAGTGGCTGAGGTGTTGATCAGCACGGTTCGAAGTCTGTTGCTTCTACTGGTTGGCTACTTTGTTTTGTAATGTGGAGCTCCTGGCAAGTCGCTGAAAGTGGTCGCATTTCTGCTGCCTGCAGGACGTATGACCGTAACGAGAGTGGGCGCAGCACAGGGAGTGCGGTGTCGCTGGTGCGCGGACGACATGGGCTGGACCTGGAGGCAGGCGCCACTGAGTGGCGGAATTACAATGACATGTATCCCGACTCTGATGGGGAGGCGCGGTCGGGTGAGGACGGTGGGAGACGGGGCAGGAGGGGCAAGCGCAGGTGGTTGTGGTTTACGTCCGTGTTGAACCCGCATTCAAGACCGGTCAAGGTGAGTTGCTCGTTCTATGACAGGGGGACACGTCGCCCGAACTTTGGCCCCGCTTCTTGACAGAAAAAGTTCGATGCTTTCATCGAACACAAAGCTGCAATCCTCAGCGAGCAAAATTTGTAGTTGGGGCCTGAGTTTGGATCAGGTTATCCCCGTTCAGCAACCGTATGAGAATTTTTGATGAAACCATCTAAACAGGCCTTAATGATGCAATTTGGGCAGACAATGAGGGTCAAGCTTGTGCGCTCAGAAGAAGGACTCAAATGGGCATGTATGACTCGCTTTGGATCTGGGCATTCTTCTGGCCCCACTGCTAACTTCCCAAGGACTTGCAGCCTGGCCCCTTCTTTCTGCGCCCTTGGTCATGCATTCCTTCCCTTGATGAACTCTTGCCTGAGCAGACAGTGACCTGCCGTCACTCTTCCCCTTACCCCAGGTGTGGCACCGCGTGTTCCTGCTGTCCCTGCTCACCGGCATGGCGGTGGACCCCCTGTTCTACTACCTCCTCGGCGTGGACCCCGCCCGCCTCTGCGTCTACGTTCAGGCTGGCTTTGCGGTGGCGGTCACTGTGCTGCGCTCGCTGCTGGACCTGCTCTTCCTGGCCAACATGGGCCTGCAGGCGCGCCTCGCCTACGTTTCGCGCTCTTCGCTGCGCCTCGGCAACGGGGAGCTGGTCACGGACCCGCGCAAAGTGGCCGCGCACTACGCGCACCCGCGGGGGGGCCTCCTGCTGGACGTGCTGGTCATCCTGCCCATCCCCCAGGTCAGCAGCGCACACAGCGGGCCAGGCCCGCCATGCCGGGGGGGTCCAGGGGGCCTGTAAAATTTTTACGAGGGTCTCTGCTGAGGTTGGCTGCGCTCGTACAATGGCCAGAGTTTGACAAAGAGTGAATTTACAGGAGTCACAGATGCGCTTTGGGTTGACGACAAGCGCTCCGTGTTGACAAGGTATTGTGCATCATGGCTGTTACACCGTGCTCACGGCCCTTCCTGCATATCTGTCGCAGGTGACGGTGTGGGTGATTGTCCCGCACCTGCTGAGTAGCGGCACCCCGTTGCGCGCCCCGACCGTGCTGCTGTTTGCGCTGCTGCTGCAGTACCTGCTGCGGCTGCTGCGTACGCTGGCCTTGGTGCGCAGCATGCAGCGCGTGGTGGGGTACATCTTTGGGGGCGCCTGGTGGGGCTTTCTCCTCAACTTCGCAGCCTACTGCGTGGCCGCACATGTAAGAACGCCTTTCTCTTCCTAGTCAGTGTCATTGCAAGGAGCCCACTTCTCTCTTCATCTCTTGTTCCGATTTTTCGAAAAACGATCAAGGCCTCTTTCATGGCAGCTGTGGCCAGACCTGGTCAGTCATAGCCAGACCTGGCCAGACAGTTTTGATGATTTGGGGGAAGAAAGCATGACAACAGATCGTGAGGGTGACGCTTCTCCAGCCAGCAAGAGCATCTTCCTAGGCACACCTATGAAGGACTTAACGTCGAAGTTGCTCCAGTTGCGATCCTGCACGGACCTCTGGTATGGGTATGGGTTGTCATCATGTTAGACAAGTTTCTCTGAACGAATCCTTGCCTGCTTTTTAATGCCAGCTTGTGTATGTATTCTGCCCTTGTTCATTTACCCGTCAAAATCGTCACCTCTTTACGTCGTCTCCCCTCATTTCAGGTCTTCGGCGCTTTGTGGTATCTGTTTGCCGCAGCCCGCGTTCAAAGCTGCCTCAGTGGGCAGTGCCGGGCAGCCTCTGGGTGCCAGCAACAGTTCCTGGGCTGCGCTCCGCCCATCGCCTTCCACGAGGAGACACTCTTGAGCGCCCCCCGCCTGGCGTGGGCCCAGAACAGCACCGCGAGCACCTTCTGCCTGGCGGGGACGGGCGGCTTCCCGTACGGCATCTACTGGAACGCGCTGCCGCTTGTGACGCGCCCCAGCGTGGCCGAGAAGATCCTGTTCCCATTCTTCTGGGGGCTCATGACGCTCAGGTCAGCCCGCGGCGCTCATGATGATGGAAAGACGGTACATCTTATCGTGCAACCGGCTCGCCGCCCCTGCTGCGACGTTGTACGTTTATGCACTTTTCGTGCTGGCTCAAGCGCTTCGATCATTACCAAAGGTTGCTTTGGACAAGCATTCAGCGCCTCCCCGGTGTTGTGTTGACCTTGGCTGATCTCATGCAGTTCGTTCTGCAACGCGCTCACCCCCAGCACATACCTGCCCGAGACCATCTTCTGCATCGTCCTCGTTGTGTCCGGCGTGCTCCTCTTCGTCGGCCTCATTGGGAACGTCCAGGTTCGTCCCCGCGTGCCACGAGCCTCGCTGCTGTCACGTTCCTCTGTTGGTGCGAGCCAGTATGGATGCGTCAAGACGAACGTGCGACCAACATCAGGTTCCGCTCTCAGTGCTCCGTGGTCCTGCATCAACACACGCTTCCTCGACGGTTCTTGAACGTGCCCTCACGATAGTGTCGGACTCATGTTTGTCGTACGCAGCAGCCTGCGACCACAACCCTCTGCCTCGGGCTGACCTTCTCTGCCCGGCTATCTCCGGCCTGCTCACACGCCTTCCCTCGCGCTGCGGTTGTGCTGCAGGTGTTTCTGCAGTCGCTGCGGCACCGCGTGGAGGAGATGCGTGCGCGCCGCCAGGACCTCGGCTGGTGGATGTCGCGCCGCCAGCTGCCTTCGCCCCTGCGCACGAGCGTGGGCGCGTACGAGCGGCAGCGGTGGGCCGCCACGCGCGGCATCGACGAGGAGGCGCTCATCGCCGACCTGCCCGAGGGCCTGCGCCGCGACATCAAGCGCCACCTCTGCCTGGACCTGGTCAAGCGCGTCCCGCTGTTCGCCTACATGGACCCGGCGCTGCTCGACATTATCTGCGAGCGGCTGCGCCCCGCGCTCTTCACGCCCGGCCTCGTCGTGGCGCGTGCTGGCGAGCCAGTGCGCAGCATGCTGTTCCTTGTGCGCGGCCACTTGCGCAACGTGCACATCGTGGGCGGGCGGCCCTCGACCGCCATCCTGTGGCCCGGCAGCTTCACCGGCGAGGAGCTGCTGACTTGGGGGCTGGGCCGCACGGCGGACCAGCACCGGCTGCCGCTGTCGGCGGCGTGCCTGGAGTGCGTGGACACAGTGGACGCGTTCGTGCTGGAGGCGGAGGACCTGCAGTACGTCACCGCGCACTTCCCGCACCGCCTCCAGTCCGCCAAGCTGCGCCGCACCATCCGACACTACTCCCCGGTCAGCGCCCGCCACGAGTCACTGTCACATGCAGACGTGACCGAGCTGGCTTGGATTCTGCGTCTTCTTAGCACGACGTGTGCCGCTTTTCTTGAAAATTGTGGACACGATCAGTTGAAACTGCGTCCCTTGTCAAGCTGGATCTTGGAACCCTGAGGTTTGCAACCTAGGAGTGTCTCGATGATTTAGGACATCCCATATCACGTGCTTAGCCGCCTGTCTCCGGCGTTAATCGGCTGTCAGTTCCCTTACCCTGCCTCCCTGCCCCGTTGTTGTGCAGCACTGGCGCACGTGGGCGGCTGTGACCATCCAGCTGGCGTGGCGGCGCTACAAGACGGTTGCGGCCACCGCGCGGCCGCGCAAGCAGCTGGTGCCCCTCGTGTCCAGCCTCTCGTTGCCGCGGCCCGGGGCCCCAGAAGCGGAGGCAGCAGCGGATGCGAGCCAGAGCGCGGCGCGCAGGCGGGACAAGCTGCGCATGTACACCGCCATGTTCATATCGCCCAAGCCGCAGGACTGAGCACGCAAGTCAGCCGGGGGAGGCAGCAGCGCGCAAATACGGGCAAGAGCTCACGCGTCGCTCAAAATGATGCGGCCGTCTGTATCATAGTGCTACGCGGGCTGTCTGTAAAATAGAGAGACATGTTGCTTAGGCGTCCAGCAAGTCAAGTCAAGCTGAAGAAAATGACTGAAAGAGATCCCTTTAACAATCGTAAGCCGTCACAATCAGAGCTCTGTGCATAGAGTAGAAATTCAAAAGGAACAAGGCTCGTTCATGTTATATGGATTTGCACAAACATGAGATGGGCGACAATTCAGCTTCCTCAAAAAGAGGGGTGACCTAGGTGAGCTTGCGGCAAGCCGCCCTTGGGAAGACCTTCAAGGCGTTGAGTTGAGTCAATTCAGAAGGTCTCGAGTTTTCAAGCCGTTTGTTGTAACGAGAGCATTCAAGTGTCTGGCGCGGCCGCTTATTGAGGATCAAATTAATGAAAACTGTCGGGCCAAACTAAAAGATTGATCTTGCATGATATGGCGCCATCGTGTACATCTGCACGATGTAATGAGGGTGGGCCCGGCGCCCAGACTCTGGCCATGGAAACTTGCGGCCAGTGGCAGAGGAAAGCGCGTACGTGGTGAAAGATTGTGCATATATTTCAATTCTCCGGCAGCTAGCAGCGTCATGAAGACGAACTTATAAACCACTTCGTGTACGATTGCCCAGCATATACTAACGCGTACAACGATCTTAGATTGAACCGTCAGCGTTATGCAAAACCCATAATAAAGACGTACACGGAGAGCAGCCGGGAGCTTAACGAGCTTGCATCATTGCCATGTGTCGGAGAAGCCTATGGCCTATTTGGCGCTACAGCGAGTACGAAAAGAGACCATCATTAGTATGGAGTCGGATCGAGACTTCTGAATTGATGTTCACATGTACGTAGAACCGTGGAGTACGTCAGCTAGCTATTGCATATGCTGTCGAGGCACTGGCTAGTTTTATAGGCTAGTTTTAGTAGACCTAGCTTTACACTATATCGATCATGCCAGCTTATGATAAGCTGCAGCATGATCGAACCGGTATAGGAGAGCTAGCTAGCATGTAACACATGCACTGCAAGGAGTTGAGCAATAGCCTATACCAGATTTCGCATCGACCGTGTGTTGGCTTCATATAGACGGCCATGCAATCAATGATGGCTCCGAGGCCATGGCTTGAAGCATGCCGCAGTGCAATTCCGTCGTTGAGTCAGTGATAACAAACAATTCATGCGCA